ATGATGGCATCATATACTGTAAATGTTCAGGTTCACTTGATTGACAGGCAGACGTGTGCAGTGCCAGCAGGATGCAGGAGTCGTACTGGACTGATGTGGTGAAGACGGAGCCGAACCCAAAGTCAAAGCTTTTCAATTTCAAGATGGCGCCGACAGCGATGGCAGCCTTGGTTACTCATGACTTGTTAATACTGTTTATTTTGTTATACTACACAGCCTTATGTTGGTTTACTGAACTGATGAAGCCTCTTGGATGAGACGTGAAACATCTTCGACCTCAAAAACCTAGTCCAGTTGATTTTTCTAAGTTTTTTCAGCTTTGATTCAAGTGGGCACATAACACATGCTGAATTTAAATTGAGCCCAATCACGCCCATCAGGCTCAGTGTTCCCATGACCTGAATCATATGACCTCTGTCTACCTGCTGCTCATTGTCTATTTTCTTTCAGAGTATACTGCATATACCAACCATGATCCATTAGTCATTTGCCAATCCTGTAGTCATAGCAGTCCAGCCCATTTTAGCCATTGGCCTATCTGACCTTGAGCTTTGTCTTAACCTGCTTCTTGTCTGTTTAAATTAAATAACCACCCTAGTCATAGTAACTGTCTCATCCCTTGAAGCACAGGCTTAAGTGGAGGAGTGGCAGCAGTTTTCCACTCAAACATATTGATCAAACTTATACCTAAACATAGTTAGACATAAACATACTGTAGTTAAGCCCTGATTATGGCGCTGCTTATGGCTGCCTTAGTAGTGTGCTCTCTCGTGTGTTTGTTGTTTTTCCTCTGTCTTCTGCAACCCATCCCGGATTACCTTCACCAGACAAAAACTACTAGACAACACACAACTCACTCCAAACACCTTTTCTCCCATTTTTGCTAATGCAAAAAGCTGTGTGGACATTCTGGTCATAGAGGCAGCAGCCCTCTGTGGAACCTGAAGAAAACACCAGTGAGGGAAGAGAGTGCAGGCCCTGGTTAAGTTATGACAGAGAGGGACCCATCTATCCACCTGGCACATATCCACTCTAGCCAACAAAGTGGATGAACTCCTTCTCGTCAACCGGACTAACTGACTTCTTGTGCTCTGCTGCTCTGTGCTTCATGGAGACTTGGCTTAGCAACTCCATCTCAGACAGTACAAATACCAGGGATCCAGGTAAACAGAACAGTTGGCATAACATAGTTATCCTGGAAAACGAGAGGAGGCGGAATCTGCTTCTACGTAAATGAACTTGTAACACAGACCTAGAAACTATTTTCATCAACTGCAAACCATTTTATTTACAGAGAGAATTTTCATCATTCATTTCTGGAGTGTTACTTTTGAGTCCAGTATTTTGTGTTAGAAGTATTATAACATGGTCAGGACAATTATGGATTCAGCAGACTTAGACTAAAGTTGTTAAATACCCCCACTCATGATTTTTTGAATGCATTTACATGTCTTAAAAAAGGCAGTTGCTAACAAGTGACTACAGGAGACTATAGAGGCTGTCGGTTATATCAAATCATGCCAAGTATCAAGACTCATGTCCTCACTAGTCCAACTTGAATGCCTTGTTATGCTTGCAACCTAATCTAACTGATCAATAGCTAGATCAGGTCACGCTATGAAGAAAGGATTTTGAGGAGGAGGTTAAGCGCCATATATCAAATTACAAGTTGGAAGCCATGGTGGTGACATTGAAGTCATTGCACTGAGGTGTAGTATGTGTTTATTCTAACAATAGGTTTTTACATCTGGCGATTGTATTTGGGCTCAAAATATCATAAGGATAATCACCTTTATTGGCCAAATATGTTACACACAAGGAATTTGTTTCCAGTACAGAACCGAGGGCCGGGAATTGGACCCGGATCAATTGCTTGGAAGGCAGCTATGCTAACCACTATACCACCAACGCCACATATAACTAAACCTCTGTCAGGAGTGGGACAGAGTGCTGTGCACTTGTGAAGATTATCTTGCTGAACAAAGCAAAGTGTCATAAACTTTAGTTTGTCAAAGAGTTTACTATCTGCAAAACTCCAAAAGCTTATGAAAAAATTCCATTGCCTTTTTTGTCAAACGAACCAGGGTGATGCTAACTACTGGACTGTCCTACAAAAATATGTCATCCCTATGGCACTCTCTAACTGCAACATTATTAAATTAACAGTGGAACCTACCCATCTCAAAAGTCCCCCCACCAACAGCACAATACCGCAGAGTCTCTGTGACTGTTCCTCCAGGGGCCGCTATTTTTGCTACAATATATTATGTGAGGTATTGTTTCTTTGCTTTAGTTATTATTGGCTGGAAAAAAAGAGATGGTAGGGTGGGAGTGGTGGGGCAGTAATGGACAGTTGATTAAAAGTGTCAGGTAAGAGTATTAGAAAGTTATTAGATGTCATAGTGGTGTGATAGTGGTATGATAGTAGAGGAAGTAGACATGATCTGTTCTCATAACAGAAGAACAGATGAGAACAAATGTAATAAAAGTTCTATGAGCTGTACCAAAACTAGAGCAGATCATATGGCTCCTCTGTGTGTGTGAGATGGATACAACTATGGATATTTCAGTGGCACCCTTGAGGGGACTGATCTTTTCCTTGGAATATTTTACAACAACAATATATTTTTTTTACTTAGTATTTCGAATTGAACAGCCCTCAACTTATGTTCTGTGTCATGCCCTCAGTATCATCTATAGGTTAGTGTTTTTATATGCACAACAGTCCTTATAGATAGATAGAGTGCTTTATTAATCCCAAGAGGAAATTACAACATTGCAGCAGCAAAGGAGGTATGTAAGAACACACACACACGCAAATAACATTATATACAAAACCTAATAGTCAATAAAGAAAAATGTGAAGTAAAAAAAAGCTTTAAAAAGATAATAAATAAGTTAAAATAAAAATAATATGTACTATAATCTAAGGAACTGTACAATACAGTTCCTGTACAATACAACAAGGTTCATCCATGGATACTAACAAGTTCAGATATTATCACAATTAAATGTGAAATGAATATGCATAATATATATGTTATCATAGAAGGTTCCTCTCTTGACACAGAGGTGAATCTCTGTACAAAGCAATAGCAGCTGGAAAGAAAGAGAAACAAGTGTTTTTTCTCACAGGTGAGCTAAAGTAGTTTGACCAGTAGGTCACGGGGAAGATGTGAGGTGTTCTTCATGATGTTTAACAGTTTGTGCAGCTTCCTCCTCTCCATAAGCAAGACCAGAGCCAGCCTTTCTTTTTCTGGCAGCGAGCTGCAACAGCTCTGCCTTTTTTGTGTTTATTTTCGTGTTTCCTTGGGCTTCTGTGTTTGCTTTTTTTGCTATATCTCTTTTCTGTGTTACACATCACGCATACAACATACACACACATGGAATTCTTCATTTTGTTATGACTGGTGCTTGATGCATGCGGAGCATAAGATATGAGAAGGAGATGTGTATGAACAGTGTGCAAATGAATACAGAGCAGTATTCTGTGACTATTGTGAGGCATGTTCTTTTATTTGAGAAGAGAAGACTAGTAAACGGATATTCCAGTGTGAAATTTATTATACATTAACGTATCAAAATAAACATGTGCACATGGATCTTCACTGTTTAGGAAAAACAGAAAAGACTACTCTCAACTTATTGGTATGCAATATTTGTATCAAAAGGTGCTACTATTTGATTGGTCAAAAACTGTTGGGGAGGAGCCGTGGTTTAGACTTAACTCTCCCGTTATTGGTCCTTCGGTCCATCCGTCCTCCTACGTCCTTTATGCTCCAATTGTAGAGGGCAGCACCCTAGGAAGGGGAGGAATACTTATACTCCCTTAATTTCTACATAGACACTCACTTCTTCCTTTGTTTCTAATGTCGTGGCTGGAGTGTGATGCCGGCTAAATTAATTCAGACAAACCATCCCAATTTAAAGGATCATTTAATATTACAATGTACATGTAGCAGTTTTTCATAAAGTCTTCTTTTGTCTAATGTTTTTCTCTGACCTCTACAGTAATATCCTGACTGCTATTGATGAGATGGCAA